CTTCTTGGACAAATCCGAGGCAGTGTTAACAACCTGTTCCTTGGCATTCATCCACATCTCACTTCCCCTTGGCGCAAATCTTCGTCAAGGATCGTCATGACTGCGCCCCAATCAAGCCAGGCCAGATAGTCACCCTCAGCACGTGGGTTTAATTGATCCCAGGTATCCCGAGTTCCGGTATCATCACCACAAGATATTCAGACTTTATCGGACTTCGGGGCTTTTCAAGCCTCATCCTCCGATATTCAACAACGGCTTAAAAGGTAACCAATGAAATTCTAACGCGCCCTGTCTAGGGTCTAACATCTGCCTCACGTCTGTCTAATCTGGGTGAGGTCAGGGAATATCTTCCTTCTTGCTTTCTTCCTCCATTTCTAACACATTCAAGGGCTGTTCTCTCTGCCCATTCCCATTATACAAAACAAATATTCCCGTCGAGGTATCGCCATGTCTAGGTAAGGTATGTTCAGTATTTGTACAAGGTGCTCATCTCAGCACCGACGCTGGCGTTTTGGTCGCAATGCAGCCATCTCACTTTCTATTTCTCATCAAATCTGGCCCAGAGCTGTGTCAAAATTGTCAGCCATTGTACTCTTGCCATTTCACTGTTGTAAACTTACCCGCAGCATACGCCATATACCATGTCCTTGATGCTCCGCCATCAATCCAGTTGGGATCAAACTTGGACTGGGTGAAGAAAGTCCAGGCAGTCTTTGGCTGAACTGTTGCATAGTTGCCATAGATGATACCCTTCCACAGGTTGTTAAACTTGTCGACGCGTCCCTTGCTAAAGTAAGTGTCCCATTCCTCCTGAACGAATGTGGCGGTTCGTGCGAAGTTGGATACGGGGAGGATAGGGATCATATGAATGCCCTGGACTGCCTCAATGGCTGCGCTGAACCATGTTGTGTGGTGGATCTTGTTCTCGAACAGAATACCCGCGACCTTGTTGCCGATGAAGTTCTTAGGCTGGACAGTGTTGGACGTGGTGTAATAGTAGTAGTCTTGCATAGCTCGTGACATGACAGCAAGCTGGAGGTTTGCTCTGTTTTGCCGTTAGTTGTCTGCGATCAACCTGCCTAGGCTACCTGACTTACCTCGCGACCATGTTAGTGTCCTTAATCACTGTACCCCACATCTTCAGAGCATAAACAGACATCATGTCCTCGGAACTCGATTCCTGGTCCTTGCCGTCCCACATGGGAGTCAGACCGTGAGCCCAACTGTGGCCGTGGTACCAATCGAAGCTTCGCCACATGGGGAAGTACTTGTCACTGCTGCTCGGGTTCGCGTAATCACGAACAAGAGAGTTGACGTAGGCTTTGTTGGCAGCAAGCCATTTGCTATCCATAGAGCCAATATAGGCGGCGGCGAGGACGTGGTAGCCGTAATGGAAATGGTGATCGTTGTAGTAGGTGTTTCCAAAATCGGATCCTGCTTGGCCTGTCTCATAGGATGCAGATGAAACGACTCCACCCCAGACAGCTATTTACTTGATTAGCTAACAGAAAACAGAGCTTCAACAAAAGACTCACATTCGTAGACAAGAGGGTAGCTCTGCTTGTTCGAACCAAATCTGGCAAATGCCTTCTGAAGTTTGAGTAGGCCAGCCTGTGCCAGAGCCTTGTCTCCCAGCATGTTGTTGATGACATAGATGATGGAACCAAATTTTGCCAGAGCCTACACTGTGTTAGTCTATTGTTCATGGAAGCTTGAAGCAAGAGTTACCTTTCCAGAAAAGTACATCGAGTCTGTGTTGGCCTGCGCATCCATGTCTTGCGAGACCTCGGACTTGGCAATAGGTGCGATGATTTTCTTTGCATTAGCAGTCAGACCACGACTACCTTTAGCTGGATCCCAGGGAGCAAAGCCCATGTCGACGGGCAGTGAAGGCTCGACCATCGTCCACGAGGTTCCTCCAACAGCGGTAGCAATACCCTTGGTGGGTGTCTGGAGCGAGTATGTCCTCATCTCCTTCTTGGTTGTAGCATCAAATGAGCTGACGTGGTGAGGAAGAGCAAAGACCCAAAGCTTTCCAGTAGCGTGGCCGGCTTTGGTCCATGTGAAAGTGTAAGTGCCCTGCTTGCCAACAGTATTGCCGCTGACCGTCATGCCAGTGGCATAGATACCGCAACCGTTGTCGAGAACAGCCTCAGACTGACCGACCTTGGGATCCTTCGCAATTTGAATGAAGCCGTAGAATGGCTTGGCGGAGGCAGCAAGACCATTGTTGGTTACCTTGAGGGTAAGAGGGTCACCCTTGGTCTTGTAAGCGTACAAACGCCAGGTTGTTCCATCTTCAAGGACGAAGTTGTACTTGCGCACGTTGGATTTGGGATCCTTTGTCACTTGTGTCATAGTTCGGAAGTAGACGCCAGTCTGGATCCAAGGTGTGCCACCACTGAAGTACGCAGTCGTGAAGACGCTGCCTTGGTAAAGAGGGAAGGTGATTGTTGCTGCTGACTTGCTGTCCTTCTTGAGGTAAGCTTTGGCATAGTGAGGGCCAATAGAGTCCATAGTCAAGACCGTGCTCTTGCCAAGTTCCTTTGCCGAGATGATCATGGACTGGATACCAACAGGGTTGACGTAAAATTCGACGGCGCCATTAGCTTGAACGTCGCCATATGTACGTTGTGACGCCTCGATATGAGAGATAGACATGCCCCAGCTTGCTGCTGGGCCAGTGCCACCCGCCCATGTGAGTGAGTAGGGGTAAGTATAGACGGGGTTCTTCTGATCACCGAGGTAGAAGTTGGAGTAAAACTTGTTGGTGCCAATTAGGCCGTTCTGGGTGACCATGGGCGTTTTGGCGACAGGATGAGTGGTCTTCCTTTCGAACATCGATGGAGGAGCACTGGTATCGATGGGGTCGGCGAAGATGTTAGGAGCAGCAGCCATTTTGGATAGACCAGAGGGTACAGCGTTGCTTGTAGTAGACGTGAGTGGCTTAAGCAGACTTGTAGGGCTAGGAATCGACGTGCTTAGGACTGCGGGCTCAGTGAGAAGAGGGTTGTATAGGTCCGTTACAATGAAACCTTCGGTATGAGGCTCGACGTCTGAAAGAGTTGGAAGGACTTGAGCTGTCGCAGTAGTTCCAACCTTGCTAGTACTGACTTTGACGCTTTCGGTGACAGGAATAATGTCCTCCTTGTCGTAGGTTGTCAAATACTGGAAAGCAGATGTTTCGATATCTCGCTTGAACTCTTCGTTAGAGTCGTCCCAAGAGTCAGCAGAGTCGTCTTGGCCTTGCGGTAGGGCTAGGACTTGTCCCTGGGTTAGCCAAAGAAGCCATACGGGCAAGATGGTGCGGGTCTTCATGATGGGCAAGTAGGGAGTGTGATTCTGCCTTGATCAAGAAGATCACAACCTCGATACGACAGATGAGGCTGAATGAAGCTGGATAACAAGCTGAAGGGTAGGGGTTCCATGGCTCATATAATATAGCCGCCCTACGCTCAAGGGTCTGCTCCTTTCCTTGAAGCTATCGAATGCGGAAAACCACTAGTCCAGTGGCACCACGACTGATAGAGCTAGCATGCACTTACATCGGAGAATGAAATGAAGTGGACTGTGTCTCGGCGGCACAAAACGAAGAAACGCATGTGGCTTACCTGGAAGCTAGACCAAGCCTAGAACTGACCATCAAAAGAAATGCTGCACTAGTGGTTCAAGGTTGACAACGGGTGGTCGAGACCTAGCAGATGCCAGCAAAGATGGCGTAAGCGATGATGGGTAATAGGATTTAAGAAATTGGATTCTCTAGGATGGCGTAGGATGCGAATGTGATAGGATTTCGAGGTTGTGATGATGAGGTTGAAGTTGAGCGAAGATGGCTGGAGGAAGTCCATCTTTATCTTTTTCCTTGAGGAGCCAATACCAGAGAAGCCTGGCCATGTGCTCTCTCGGGCCATCGCTCTTTCTAACTCTTGGGTATCATTGAAACCCAGGAAAGAGCATCGTGAACAGTCGAGGCGGGGTCCTTTTTTCGCATTCCAGATCAAGTGTCTGCGGCGCATGTTCTCAGTCTCACACACAGGGTATGTGATCCATGGTGCGTTGTGACGCACCTCAAAGGGGAAATCTCCTAGATGCTCATCTGTGGCGTCGGCGTGTGCCTGCAGTAGAGGGGTCAGTTAATTGCCTAGCGCACGCCGCACTGGGCATGGGCTGCAGGGTGCTCCTAGTTCCAGGAACTATCGATTCGCGACGAGTTAGCCCAACAGACTATTCAAGGGATGGCTTCGGTTGAGCTCGCCACACCTTGCAAACAAAACGTTCAAAATTGCTTCAAAGTTCAGCTCCGGTGGTTTGGGTGAGCTTTCAACCTTATGAGTGGACGCCACTTATCTCCCTTCATTTATTTTCATGGCTTGCGTTCCCGAATCAAGTCTCAAGCCCTGAGCGTTGATGGCTAAGTGGCTTCGTAGCTAAAATAATTTAATGTTTTGCATATAATCCGTCTTTCATGCTATCATCTCAGTTAAGAAAATTGTCTCTCAGCAGAATCATCATCAGCCTTGCCATGACTTCGCCTGATGAATACGAAGTCATTTGTCGTATGCCCGGTGTCCAAACTCTCCTCTCCAGCCGCTTCATCGTTGACGTTACATTCATGAAGAAGGCAGTTCGATTTTGAACCGAGACAATCACTTGACTTAATTAGTATGTTACGTTAGAGGCCGTTGAGACAGCACTTGACTTCTGGTAACATTTACCAAAACACCAGGACGGAGGAGTTCGTTAGAAATTGAGACAATGATCTAGTGACCTAACCGTTCCGGCGTGTCTCAAAGATCCCAAGGCCATGGACCCTCAGTCCCTAGCACGCTTTATCAATCACGGTGATTGCGAAATCGCATTCCAGAACACGGCACAACGCGCTTGGCCATGCCAACCACTACTTGGCAACTCTCTTTTATTGATTATTCTGGTCCAGATCCAAGAATGAACTCTCGCTAAAATTCCCTGGTAAATGCGCCAGCGATCAGGACATCTTCAGTTCATAACCCTAGCGCATCGTATTTGCCTCTTCTGCCATGCTCAAGAATCTGCCGAAAATCCAGCCGCATTTCTTTGTTCGGCTTCTGCTGCCGGATGGTCTGTTCAGCATGGTCCGCGGATTTCGATGTTTGCTTCGCAGCTCGAGGTTCTGTCATTGCTTTGATGCGTTTTCGCTTCCTCTCCGCTTCCTCTTCACTCCGTTCAGCTTCCTTTCGACATCTTCGAATTTCACTGTTTCGTAGAATCCATGGTTTGTCGAGAACTTCGGACTTGAATCTGACCCTTTTTTCCCACAGAGTAACCTCTTGCGCAGTGCTTCGTACCATAATCATCTTCTCAATAGTGAGTTGTCGCTCGTCTCTGAAAGTAGACAGACCTCCCTTGACGTCGACAACACATCCGACGTCAATATTTCGGAATGGGTCTGGGGTTTGAGGCGGGTCAATATCCGCTTTCTTCGGAGCAGCATCTCCTGTTGTCGCGCGACTATCACCTTCACCAGAGATAGGTATGGAAACAATGCACTCGATGCATGCGCCGCTACTATCATCTATTGTATACACGCGTCGGCTTGCGAATTCGTCAATGGCGACGATCAATCCGACTATGCGCACCCATTTGATGGGTAGATTCCTATAGAAGTAGAAATTTTCGCCTGGAAGTCATTAGTCCAGAGCATCGTGAAATACTCAACGGCCTGTGCTTACCTTCAAAACCTTCGTACTGACCAAGGTCATGGATATCGGTTACACGAAAGAGGCACCATTGGTTCACGGTTGGCGCAAGATGAAAGCAGTATCGAGGATAGATTGGGGGCTTGGCGGATTCGCTCATGGCATCATGATAGCACTCTTCTTCATTCGAAGGCTAAACCATTATCAAGCATTGCCATATGGTATCGCGCTTTTGCGTATTTTGTCGTGGTGACGCGTTGTGAGAGAAGGTTAGACAAGTGAAGTGAGACCTGGCGATGTTCACGGTGGCTTGGGAAGCCCCACCATAACTTAGTGGACAAAAAGACTGACCCGTGACAACGTCACGAAGAATTGGAAGCATTGGAACTTGGTGAGATTGTTTATTGTTGGAATCAATTACCGGAGTAAGTCTTAATATCATAATGTAATACATAGTTACAAGTTTTGCGAGGAAACTTAGAGACCTTGGAGTTACGAGGTTCGAGGTTCCTGCTAAGAGAACAAGCCTGCTTCATGTTTGTTTGTCTCATCCGTGTCCGTTGGCTTTTGTACCACCTTCACGAGAACTCGACTCTGTCCATCTTTGTCGAGAGATAAGTAATCGGAAGGTATATCACATCTAGTGGTGTTCCTACAAACCCAACATGAGTTCTTTGACACTTTGAAGTTTTCTTGAGTCCTATATTATTTCCTCGTCCTGGTAGTGCATCCTTGCCTTAACCTACGCCCAGACACCAAAATTCTTGACCCAATAGCCACATTACAGCAACCCTGGTATGACAACCCACTTAGACTCTACCGTTTCGACCTCTTCGAGCCCTTTAGACGAGAAGCAGCTGCTTGAAAGGCCTCTTCCGAAGGCTCATCCTCAACAGGCCGCTTCTTGCCCTTCTTTCCTTTGTTCTCTTTGGCACCATACTTTTCAGCGAGATGGTCCAGAAAACCCTCGGAGCGATCTTGCTGCCTCTTTTGGATCAGTGCTGCCAGGTCGTCCTCTGAGTTCCCCTTGCCCTTCTTCTTTTTGCTCTTCTTGTCGCCGCCGAATAGCTTGTCGTGCACACCTAGCTCCTTTGCGTAGTCTTCAGCCTCTGTAGCTTCTTCCCGGGCCTTCTTCGCACGACCCTCTCGCTTCTTCTTCGACTCTTTCGTGTAGGCTGGGAAGCTAGGCACTTTTTTGCTCTTGATGGCTTTGTCGATGATTTCACGGAAACGTTCGTCGTCCTCCAAAACGTCGCTTAGAATGACTCTCTCGTACAGCGCATCCATATCACCTTGACAGTCTTCGTACGCATCGAGCACATCTCCCTTCTCTTCATCAGAGCCCTTATACTTCTTGGCAAACTTCTCGATCGCATCGCCCGATACAGACTCTTTATATTGCTCTCGATAGTAGTCGCTCCAGTTGAATCCTTCTGAGTCTACAATCGATTCGGAGGTCGAGCCAGTTTCGTCGTACCGTTTGCGACGGGCGGGGTCGGAGAGAATGGCGTAGGCGAATGCGATAGCTTGGAACTTCTCGTGCGCAGCATCTTTCTGATCTTGTGGCACCTTATCTGAAAAATAGTAGGGTCAGCGGTGCTCATCTGTGTTGTAACCGATTTGGCAAACCTGGGTGGTTCTTAAGCGCAGCCTTTCGATAAGATTTCTTGATGTCATCGCTCGTTGCAGTCCTCTCAAGACCCAAAACTTCATATGGGTCAATAGTGGGAGGCTCGCTCTCCAGAATGTCTTCGTGGTCTGACATTGTGTCAATACCGTCGGTCTTGGTTGATATTGTAATGGAGTGCGAGTTGGATTAAGCTCAGGCTCGTTGCTGGAGGGGGAGACGCGTTGCGACGCGCTCACAGGGAAAATGTGGATCCAACATTAAAGTGCTTTCGGTGATCGGAGTTTACACCCGCCGACCATCAAGATGGATCAAGGCTCCCGTATCCAGACATCTCGTCATACCTTATCCGTACATGCCTCACATTAAACGATATGGCTACCATAGAACCTGGAGACCACAAGGCTGCAATGGAGCGCGCCTTGAGTTTAGCCAACAACTCCCCTCCCAAGCCCACCAACTTCCGTGTAGGAGCTCTAATTGTGCGCCTTAGCGACAACAGCATCATTGCCGAAGGATACACACTTGAACTTCCCGGAAACACGCATGCAGAAGAAACATGTCTACTGAAACTCGCTGAGCAGCATGGAACGACAGAAGAGAACCTATCGGATGTCTTCAACACCCCTCATGCTCTATACACCACTGTTGAACCCTGTTTCAAGCGGCTGAGCGGCAAGCTCCCCTGCGTCGAAAGAGTGTTACGCCAAAAGTCATGGATCAAGCAAGTTTATGTTGGCGTCCAGGAGCCTGAGACTTTTGTTGGGGAGAATACAGGTCGCAAAACGCTCGAAGATGCTGGTATTGAGATCCACCATGCCTCAGGCTTGGAGGATGAGATTCTGAAGGTTGCGACTGCAGGGCATATCAAATCATGAAATAAGCTATTCGTATGAGATCAAACTGGATATCCATGGGTGTTATTGAGTAATGGACGGTCTTGTGTGCATATTAGGGAAATGGCCCAGATGGTGGAGTTGAGACGAGACGGTAAGTTTTCCGTCCCTGTCTCACCGTAACATTTCAAGCTAATCAACATCTTTACCTCAAGCAAGTTATATTGTGGTCCTACTGTCACGTCTTCAGCGTTGGTCCATGTTCCGCTGCTCTAAAGGGCTGTCCTCCCAGGCATGCTCTGTTTGCGATATATCAGTCAACACATCAAGTGAGAAGGTCAGCAATGAAATTTACCGAGTTGCATACCACCAATCATCCGTTAATTTGAGATATTCTAAGTCTGCCACCACAGTACACATCTGTCTCGATTGGCAAGCGTTGAGTTCCGCCAATGCTATGCACTATGGTGTGACTGCGATGGCCACGTAGCACACCGGTTGATGCATCTGTGCAACGTTGGCCAAGATGCTTCCCGTCTTTTGTCTTTGATATTGACCCCATATGTGTACAATTTCATCCCTGGAAGCACTCTATTTCTGCTACGAGAAGCACAAATGATACCTTCACATGACCTACTTCGAAACTACCGTCGCTTGAACATAGAAATCTATTTGTTGCAATCATCTTCAACGCAAATATTTCAAATATGACCTTTCAATTTGCCTTCATGAGTCTGGAGTGAAAGGCTGAATAAAATCATGCCGTCCAATCTTCTCGGAGTAGTTCCTAGAGAGCGAGAAACCTGGATACTCACAAGGTCTTTTGTTCACTTCTGAGTGCTTCTTGCCCAGCCATTTGCTATATCATAAATACAAATGTGACAAATGACATTCACGCGACGCACTTTGATGGTCCGTGAAAAGCTGTGAGTGACATGCGTTGGCCTTGTGCACAAGTCTAAGGAGGTTTGAGTACTATTTAACACATGTTCTCAGGGAAGAGAATTATGCCGAAAAGAGAGAGGACGACCATACTAGGCTTTGTTCTGACATAAAATCCTCCACTGAGTAACGCATCTATTGAGTCTCCATATCTGAGATACACTTGAACTTGGGCGTCTAATTGACCAAAACGAAGATTTGATGCCTCTGCTACCAACCCTTGTCTCTTCCTCTTCTATATGATCTCTTGTCGCTGCTGCCATGCTCCTCTTTGATCTCGATACATGTAATTTGGCACTCAGCACAGAGTGCCGTAGGAATGAGGAGGGTGTGCCATGTGAAATATTGGCAGCTGGGCTTGAGGTATCGGTTTAGAACCTGTTCTGGAGGTCCGTTCGCAATCCACCATTCGCATATGTCCCAAGCAATTGTGTCTACTTCGATCTTGCACACATGCCCGTGAGTGATAAGTCTGTGAGCAACTATCCCTTTCTTGGGGCATTGGGCGCGTCTGCAGGGGCAGATGTAGAAGCCGCGTTGACCGGTGCACATGGTATCTCTTAGGTTGATTGGTGATATTCTCACTCCTGGGGTTCTTGGGATACGAGATGACAGGTGCCTTGATTTGTTCTATATGTATTGGGATCATAAGAAGAGTCTTGAGGTGATTATTAGAGCCTTTTTCTGGGCAGCCCATTTGTTGAAGTCTGTCTGTGTCTACCAGGCTGTTGGTTCTATGGTGTCCAGAAAGATGCACCAACATGAATGAACGACATGGCGAATATTTACATTGTTCAAACTGTGGTAGAACATTATGATAGCTTGCAGTGTGTTTTGCTTGGAGTTTGGAATTATGCGGGAAGCCGAGCATTACTCCAACTATAAAGGAGTGTAGGATACCGAGAATGAGGTGATCAATACATAAGTTCTTACTAAGAATGGTAACGTCGCCAGAGACCGAGATTCCGAGGTCTTGAACAGAACAATCGAGAGTGTCATTTCGGTTCTAAGTTTCATGATATGCTTCACGTTACACAGCACATCTATGCAGTTTATAAGTCAATGTAAGCAAAGATTCAGGCATAAAGCAAGCAATACCTAAGGTAGGCAGTAGGTCAATGATAAAGGAAGTCCCCTTGTGCGATATGATGTGCCTCTAATTGTTCAAACTCAAACAACGACCATGTGTTGTATGTTTGGTTATCCGAGCCCGCAGGACTGGTCTCGCATCTGGGAAATCGTGTGGACGAATCCTGATTACAGGCGTACCAAGATCCAGTGGAACAAACACAGACCCTAGGTTCTTTGATGATGGCTGAGCACGGGATGGCTAGCGGAAATCTTGTCCAACAACAACTGTACAACTATTAGAGTATATGCTTGTAAGGCAGGGGTTGCCATTTAGACGCAAGATTGGTTGTCCAGAATGCTTCTGGGCATCTATCAGTCTCCGTAACATGGCTGAACTGATAAAGGGAAATCCTACAGTGCATCAACACAAGATCCGAGCATATGGTACCTGCAAGTGACTTATGTTTTCAATGGTGAAAAGATGGGTGTGATTGAGTTTCTCCAGGGTAAACGGTTATCATTGAAGGTTAATGATAGCTGGAAAGCCTCGTTAGCCCAGCGGAACTAAGACACGACGTATAACGTCATGGCAACCTTGGGAGGCCGACCATTCTAAGGGCTACGAAACAAAGCCTGGCGCATAGAGAAAAGAAAGCGCGAAATTTAACTCTTCCCTTTCATGTTTTTCTTATGTTTTCACTCGCTTTGACAAGTTTGCTCTCTGTCAATTGAACTTGAACCAATTATCCCCCCGCGCACCTAAGAATTAACTTAGTGTCGGTTAGCTTCAGCTTGCTCCACCAGACCCGGGCGAGCTCCCTAGCTGCCGTGATAGTCCTCCCGCCTCTGCAGCTGTTACCGACAAGCCTCCTTGTCAATTAGGTAGAGGCCGTGATTAGGCCACTCTTGCCTTCAGTCAATCAGTCACTTATCAGAAAGCCAGGCTGTGTCACAGCAAACAAGGCTGTGACTGCTTTGGCACTGATTCACACTGGAGGCACCTGCAAAGAGCCTCTCGATCCTCTCTCCGGGCCTTTCACATAAAGCTGCCCAAATCCTCCTCCTAAACTTACACTCTCACACACTCATACCTACTCATCAAACCCTTCATTCTTCTCTCATCATCATCAAGTGACAGTCTTTTGAGCTTGGTTCTTTTCAACAACTTTGACAATCAGTATCGCTCGCTGCCCTTTACGTCTTGCTACCCTGTAGTTCTTGACTATCTCAACCCCAATCACCATGGCAGACCGAGGCGGTCGTGGTGGGCGTGGTCGCGGAGGACGTGGCGGTGGCTATCAAGATGGTCGTGGTGGTGGACGCGGTGGCCCTGCTGGTTCCTCTGACTTTAGAGGAGGAAGAGGACGAGGCGATGGCAATTTCCGCGGCAGAGGTCATGGCGATGGAGGCCGCGGTGACTTTCACGGCGGCTTCAGCGGCCCTAGAGGTGGTCGCGGAGGTCACCACCGTGGAAGGGGAGGACCACGAGGTGGTCGTGGCGGCCGAGGCGGCTTCAGTGGCCAACCTGAAGGACCTGCTGTCTTCACGTATGTTCTATCTGATACCAGATGTGTTGTCGTTGATCAATGCTAACTTATGCAGTGTGGGAGATTCTGTTCCCCAACCAGATGCGGCCATCACAAAGCTTGAAGATGAAGTCGTGAGAAACCAAGTCACTTCTGTCGCTCAGCTCACCTCCAACATGGGTAACTTGTCAATGGAAGACAAGCAGAACTTAGGAAAGTTTCCTCCACGACCTGCCTTTGGCAGTAAAGGAACTCCCGTCACACTCTGGGCGAACTACTATCAGGTCAAAACTCAAGCTCCCGTGATCTACAAATACACAATGACTGTCAAGGAGATCGTTCCTGAAGGGCAGGAAGAGACAAAGGAGCGCGCCCCCAAGACTAAGGGGAAGGGCGGCAAACCCGGAAAGTCTCAACAGTCTGGCCCTCGCGAGGTCAAGGGCCGCAAGCTCTACCTTGTTATCAAGGAAGCTCTCAATGAACTCTCCAAGAAGGACAAAAACCTACTCCTCGCGACTGAGTTCAAGCCACAGCTCATCTCGTTGCGCAAGCTCAATCTTGAGCAAGACAACACTATTCGGTTCAACATGCTCTCTTCGGCAGGCTCCGAAAAGACAGATGTCTTCGAAGTTGTTTTCAATGGCCCTGCAGAGGCTCGTGTTGATGAGATGCTCAAGTACGTCAACTCCAAGACTGGCGCCTCTGATGATGGCAACGATCCTTCCAAGGCCATGACCTTCCCCAAGTTCCCGGATGTCATTGATGCCCTGAACGTCATTTTCGGCTTTGGCCCACGGTCTAAGCTTGACGAGATCAGCGCTGTGGGGAGCTCGCGCTTCTTCGCATTTGGGAGCGATAGCCGCCGGAATGAGGTTATCTTGGGCAGAGACAGAGCTTTGAAAGCTGCGCGCGGCTACTTCCAATCCGTTCGCCTGGCCACTGGCCGCCTTCTCTTGAACGTCAATGTCACCCATGGTGTCTTCAAGATTGACGGCCCCTGTGCCGCGTTCTTTGACGGGTTCGAGGTTAATGCGACTCAGTCACCTCACATGGCCAGAAAGTTGAAACTACTCAACAGATTTCTTCCCAAGACCCGCGTCTGGATAAGGACCAAATATGGGAATAAGGAAGTTCGAAGATCCAAGGCAATTCATGGCCTGGTGTCGATCCGTGATATCAACAAACAATGTCGCGATAAGCCTCCCAAGTTCCGCCATACGACAGATTTTGTGGTTGGGCCGGGAGATGTGAGCTTCTGGCTGGAAGATGAGGGTAACAGCCGGTACATTACCGTCGCAGACTTCTACAAACAAAGTATGTTTCACCCTCCACGTTCGATACTGATCTAACATGTGATCTAGAGTACAACGTTAATCTGGCAAACTATCCTGTTTTCAATGTTGGCACTGCCGCAAAGCCTACCTTTGTCCCTGCTGAGTTCCTCGAGATCCAGCCTGGACAGTCAGTAAAGGCCAAGCTCAATGGCGCCGAGTCAACAGACATGGTGAATTTTGCTTGCCGAACCCCATACGCCAACGCTCTCTCCATTACTACGGATGCCCGAGAAACGCTTGGGCTCGACGATGACACACTGGTATGTTTTGTGAAATTCGGAGGTGGAAAATGCTAACTTCTCTAGGGTCATTTCGGCATTCAAGTTGGTCGGCAGCTCCTCACGGTTCAAGGACGCGTTCTCACCGTGCCTCGAGTTGCATACCTCGACCAGCAGAAGAAATCCAAAGCTGTCGACCCGCATAATGGAGCTTGGAACCTCAGAGATGTCAAGGTTGTCAAGCCCGGCCAACCCGTCAAGAAATGGACCTACATCAACATCTTGTCCAGCCCTAGATCTGAGGCCGTGGGATCACAGTCGGTTATAGCGTTCTCTCAGTTCATGAAGAAGACCATGAACATCGCTGTCAACGACCCTATTCCACCGCCACACGAGGCGGCCAATAGCCGGGATACCGAAAAGGTATTCGGTTGGGCTCAGAGCAACCAGATTGAGGTCATTCTTGTGATTCTCGACTCAACTGATTCGGAAACCTATGGCAAGATCAAAACCTTTGGCGACTGTACTTATGGTATTCATACCATCTGTGTTCAGGGTTTCCAGCTGCGCAAGGGAAATCCCCAGTATTTCGCGAATGTTGCTCTCAAGTGGAACCTGAAGACTGGTGGTGTCAACCACAAACTTCACAATGAGGTCGGTTTGATCAAAGAAGGCAAAACAATGGTGGTTGGATACGACGTTACACACCCGACCAACATGTCTGCCGACAAGAGCGACGCTGCACCCAGCTTGGTTGGCTTGGTGGCCACTGTTGACCGGGACATGGGGCAATGGCCAGCCTACTCCTGGGAGCAGTCGTCCAAGCAGGAGATGCTTGATGAAACCTTGACCGAAGCTTTTAAGTCGCGCCTTGAGCTTTGGCAAAAACACAACCGACAGGAGTTGCCCGAGAACATCGTCATCTTCCGCGACGGTGTGTCCACTGGCCAGTTCGCCCAAGTTCTTCGCACAGAATTGCCACGCATCCGCATTGCGTGCAATGCCAAATACCCCAAGAACAAGGCTCCCAAAATCTCGATCATCGTTTCTGTCAAGCGACACCAGACTCGCTTCTACCCCGCCTCCAACGAAAACGCGATGGAGAAGAACCACAACATACAGAACGGCACGGTCGTCGACCGAGGTATCACGGAGGCTCGGTACTGGGACTTTTATCTCACCGCCCACGCAAGCATCAAGGGCACTGCCCGTCCTGCGCACTACACTGTTTTGATTGACGAGATCTTCCGAGCCAAGTTCAAGAGCGAGGCAGCCAACGAGCTTGAGAAATTCACTCACGAGCTCTGCTACCTGTTCGGACGGGCCACCAAGGCTGTGAGCATTTGCCCTCCGGCCTACTATGCGGACATTGTCTGCACTCGCGCTCGAGCTCATCGACCTGAGTTCTTCGAGGAGAGTGACGGGGATAGCGTCGTCACTGCTGGATCAGCCCAGGCTAAGGGCAAGGCAGTCCACCCTAGACTGATCAACTCCATGTACTATATCTAAAGTGCTGTGGCTCGTGAAGACTTCGCGCATATTGCTTTCTGGAGGATCGTCGTTTGGTGAGCTAACAGAGGGACATTGTTTTGCTATTCATTTGGGCTAATGACAGAAACACAAGGGCTTTTTTTTTTTTTAATAGCGATTTTAGTATCGTTGCTCTACATGGAAAATAGCGACGTAGCTCTAGGTTGTCAATCGATTTTGATAAAAAAACAGAAATCGGCAAGACAGTAAGAAATTACGCATTTGGGTCCTATCATTTTGCCTCTAAAAGAGTCTTTTGTGGCAAATCAGTATTCTTGGAGTAGAAGTCATCATATTGAGTTTTGTCCAAGTCTCCCATATTCTATCCCCATCTTGATGAAGAGAGGGTGACATCCGAGCTCGGTGAGAGTCCATCTGAAAGCATCCCAAGATGAAAAGCCTGACTTGCGTTGATAGGGTCATAGCAAACTACCTCGATCTCCAGACACGGTGATCAGGAGTTCAATCAATACAACCACGGCTATTACCGTTTTGATTGAAACTATCGATGGTCTTTTCGAATAAAGCAAATTTCCCAGCAGGTCCATCAAGTTATTCACCCGCAAGGTATTCCTATCAAACACATCATCCAAGTACCTTAATCATAAATTTCGAAGACCTTGAGGTCGAAGCAGCCAAGGAAGAACGTATCAGGAAGTTGACTCGTAGATATTATGTTTGCTGAGCCAATCTCGCCTTGTAAAGTTACATTGAACCACAAGGTCTCGGCCTTCTCTGCGTTTCCCCCAAGTTTCAAGAGCTTGTTTAGCGCAATATCAGCACGGTGTTGATGGCGGATGGCCTTGAAGTTAACACTTCCTGTATTTTGAATTGTGTTTGCACGTTCTCTTGAACCTATTGCCCGATTCTTTTCACGAGAGACTTCAGGTTCTAGCATTGCATGTTTGGTTAGTGGCAAGTTCTTCGTCTGCAAATCGTTTAGCTTCCCAGTCAGCTCAGCCTGCTGGCTTGTCGTGGAAGGTGGCACCAAATTTGTATTTGTTTTGAATTTGTGGGAAGTAACGGAATATTGCTCTCGTCAGACTCTTATTTAGCATTCATTCTCGAATACGTCTAAGGGGTAGCAACGGTCAGTCAACCATCAACTTTCGTATGCATGATACTGTTCCGATTAATTGCATCAGACAATTTAAACATTCTGCGTGAAGAATAATCCCTTGAGGTCACAATGACTGTGTATAGCACCTCACAGCCATACTATCCTCCGCGAAAAGCAAAGGTATCGGCGTTGCGTTCCAGACAGTCAACAACCATTCTAGGACCTGGCTTCAAGCGAGGAACAAACCACCTCAGCCATCAGCTCCGAGAAGAGCATAGGTCGCTCGAACTCTGGATGTAGATAGAAGTTGATGACTTGCTTGGTCCAAATGAATACATGAGGGATCCAATGCTGCTGCCCATCGGCGATGAGCTTAGGGGGGCTTTATGGCTCCTTTACCTGATTATTTCCAAACCCCTGAACCCCAAGGCGATGCCTTTGGTTCCTTCAGGTTACGGGAAGCTCCCACTGGCGATTCAAGTACACTAGAATTCAAGCTCTGTGGATACCTCGAATGGCGTGACAATAGCATTTGAAGTAAAGTGTGGGCTCGCATCCGTGGTATTACGTCCCGCAAGCCAGGCTTCTATCATCTAAACTTCCATGGCCAATAGCCTGTGTTCATGTAGTTAGTATTCGGCGGCAAGCTAGCGAAACGGCAATGCTAGTGTCCCAGGAAGACCGTGTTGAGCTTGACTCTAGTTCGACATTGTGAAGAGGAGGATCCAAGCTGCACGGAGATCGGGAATTTCACAGGACCCTTAACAGACTTTTCTGCTTCTGTCTCAGAGGCAAGTCCAACACGAAGAATGTCAATGGCTGTTCATTCAATGTCCTTGATCTCTTCACGAAATCGGCTCCCCAGTGGGCAGAAGCATCATTCCATAGGTTGACGATTGAATAGTTTCAATCACACCGCGAGTTTTGGGCACCCCGTGGGCACCTCGGTGAAGTATTCTCCAAGGGTTGTGACTTGTTCTGGCGGAAAGCTTAGGACCAGCAGAGAGACCAATATGATACCCACGAGCTTCATCCTCGGGCAGACGCCCGGGGCTAATGCCAGCCGTGGTCGCGTCTGTCGGCACACTCCGACTGCGTGAATGATGGGATGCGTAGTCTTTTAGGTCCAGTGCCTGAGATAGAGTTGGTCTTGCTAGGGGGTCATACTGTTGGAGCCGGCGTCTTCGATAGACGAACGAATCAGGAACAATCGAGGACAGGGGAGGAAGGGAAATGGACAGAGGTATGTCAGAGCTAGAAGGTGGGAGTGGAGATGATGCAGCAGACATTGTGCTACCTGTATCAGTAGGTCACAAAACAATTATGTTGAGAATCCTCAGGTGCACAGGTATTGTGACTCACAATAAATTGACCAATTCTAGGTACAAAAATGTGAGTTGAGAGGCCGGCGGATCGGAAATAGATTCAGCGCACAAGAGGAGGTACAGGAGAGTTGAACAACAGAGAAAGAGAAGAGCCACGTGCGATTTGGATATGACAGGCTATTCTCAACCGTAGATAGCGATGATATTGCATCTAAAGAGCATCCACGGACAGCAAACAAATATGGACAAATAAACCAAGCTGAGAAAACGAATGTATGTGGGTGTAGAGTTACAGAAGACGTCTGCATGCCAACAACTGATTGTATTATTCGTCTGTGGACGAGAATTTACATCTTTGCTCATGGCCGAAGTAAAGCGATAGAGATTGTTCAGTGAGTTACCTCATTGTGCCATTCCATCATCGTACGCAGATGAACAGACATGCCTTTGCCAGAGCAAGATCACAGTTCAGAATCTACAGTATAGCTATGTTTTTGACATTACTCCTTTAAACTACTTCTAATTCCTTGCGCAAGTTGTCAGTCGTGGCCTCAGCATTGAATATCTTCCCGTTAGACACATTTTCGCCCGATCCAATATTTACGTCTCTCTTACAGGAATACCCCGGCGTAAAACAATACAACAATATTTACGTCTGATGCGGAGCTGGTCTGCTTATAATCTACCAAGACAGATCCCACTTCCGTTTATGCGCCGGATGTATTTCGAGCTCCAAATCACAACATGTTCACTTCATTATGCTTTTTATGATATTTCTGGTGTTTGACTGTTTGTATTAGGTGTAGGTGAATACAGCCTATGTAGTCCCAACGCTATTCCCTTTCAACGCCATTCCGATTCATGTCGATTCATGCTGATTCCATGTCGATCCGAAATACTGGAGAAAATTAGATGGCTTCGCGGTGGACCTGGGGGTTTAAGTCAGTCTTGTGTAATCTAATCGATCGTGTTCCAGGACGACTTACGTCGGCCTTCTTGTCGTGAGTGGTCTCGTCAATCTTGTCGCCAAGGGCATCCTTCGCAGCCGTGGCACTGCATAGATATGTTAGCAAGATATTGTTATCGAGGGGTGAAGTGGTGTTGAGTGGGCTTGATGGAGGCTCAAGATGTGATGGTGTTGTTGAGGCCATGAGGCACTCGTGTATGATCTGGGTGGAGAGGAAGGTGCTTACCGGGTGGAGATGGGGACGTTGCCGTCCTTAGCAACCTCCTTGTTGGCCTCCTTGGAAGCACCAGAGGTGGCCTGCTGAACGGTCTCAGCGACGTAGTTGCCGGCTTGCTTGAGGGACTCCATTGTGATAGTGGTTGGTGGTTTGGGTTGGTTGTTGTTTGTGAGTGTTTGTATTGAAGATGAGAGTGTTTGATGATGAAAGAAGAAGAGGTTGAAGTGGGAGGAGAGGGGGTTTAAGTATTGCTTGGAGAGAACGTTGATTGCCCGTGATCAACCTTGAAGATGCAGGCACGCGTGGGCAAGAAGGAGCAGGCAGAGAGAGCTCCGGAGGTAGCTCCTGATAGAACCCCACAGTGAATCACTGTGGCTTCTCTAGCAAAATGCACTTTGGTGAGGAGGGGCATTGCATCTGCCTCTCAGATCGCGATCGTGTGTGACGTCAGATGCGCTATTGGAGCAGTCTGGAGGGTGAAGCTGCATTGCACACTACGTCATCGCAAGGATGGGAAAAGCCAAGATATTGCCCAGCGCCGCAAAACCCACTATTGTTTCGCTCCGGGGAGTGGTCTTGACTGACTTGTGATTCCCTCGATATGATTGGCTGATAAATAGACCGAGGAACGGGAAGCTTGATGATCACTGCAGGCAACTTGCGGCTCCAAGCTAGAGGACTGCCAGTATGGATCCCCTGGCTCAGGGACGGCTACATGATTGGTTGATGACCACATGTCTTCATGCGCAATGACAACATGACTTTGTTGAAGCTCATCTTGTGAGGACATCAAGATCAAAGCCAATCCAATGCCCCTTTTACTGAAGCCAATCCAAACACGTCGAGCTGCATTTTGGCGTCTGTCATGGCTCGTTCTAGGCTTTTTCTCAGATCGCGATCGGGGTCAACTGATCTTTTAGACGGAAATTTTGCCCGTTTGAAGCCGACGATCGAGATATATCGACGTCAATGTTGGTAAACAAGGCATGCCCTCGGTTGCCTGAGGATAAACATGTCATAATATCGTCGGTAACCTCGGTTTCAATGTAAATAAATTCGATGAGATAAAGTTCGGGAATATGACGGATTAAGGGTCCAACCTTGAGGATCTTCTAAGGGTATCAACACCATCTTCTTCTCCAAGGATTGAGGGTCCTGAAACAAGGGTTCCCCCAGGACTAGGCACAGTCTTGTCTTGCGCAATAGATACGTCAGTGACAGTTTGAATGACAGGAACCGATCAATGAGTGCGTTGTGAGCTGAAATGGAAGTTTAAGCTCAACTGAAAAGCATTCGCCAAGGAACTGAATGCTAACCCCCTCCTGCTTGCGGGGTATACCCTCAAGGTCAATTCGAAATAACGTTCTGATTCAGCTGCTCTCCTTATTGACCAAGGCCTCAAAGGACAATTCAATGATCGTGAGGCTTGGAAAGTTAACGCTTCTCACTATAAGTTTTCATGTGTCGTCATTGGTAATAGAGCTTGGTTTCGGTGGTATTGATGATCTTGTTGTTGACAAAGTCACAACTGGGAGTTGGGGGTTGGTTTGAGGTTGACGTTCAAAGGTTTAAACGATGACGCTCAGTGAAGACTTAAGAAAGCACGAGAAACCTCAATACAAAAAGCATATTTATACATACAAGAAGCACAGCCATTGAAAGATATAATCATTAAACTTACAAAATATCGGGCAACAACAGCTAATAGAAGACATAAAAAATTGTAAAGATGACAACAAAGTCGAGCAACTATAGGGTAGCAAGGAGCCAAGAGCGAGCAAAAGTACCCTCACGTGAGCATTGGCCCGTGCACAGCAGCCATTGGACCCCGCCACAGGTGCGGTCAGGAGGCTCAAGTCCAAGGGATATTCAAGACAACAGGATATATCAAATAAACTGACCATTAACGGATTAAAAGACTCACAAAGCCTCATACTGGGGCCTTAAATCATAGTCTTGACTTATATCGACTTAAGAGCGATACAATAGCGAGCCGCCATGGATCTGGCTTATGATCATATCACAGAAGATGGCTACGCTAAGAAGACGGAAGAGCCAAAGAGTCCTCAACCTCAGTCAACACTGAATGAGGACCTCCAAGACGCATATAAAGCCTTTTCCAACAGCCCTTGGGGTGCCAGGATTGGTGGCTTCTTTGGCAACGTTGTTAAGCAGGTATGAGGTCTCAGCTCTCAACCCTTGCCCGTCTAACATGCTTAGGGCGAATCAGTATACACACAAGCCTCCAAGGAGTTGGCGGAAGTAGGTGAAGATGCATCAAAGGGACTCACTGGCCTTCGATCAACAATTCTAAGCCATACAAGAAACCTTTCACTCAACACCGTGACTGGCGGCGAAAGCTCCAGAGACGGTGAGAATGATCAGGCCACCACACCTAGGGCATCACAGGATGGTTCATCAGAGGCCAAACAGTCCGAGAACACCCTGGCTCGGCTTAGAGCAGAAGCTGCCAAGAGGTTAAAGGACCTTCAGAAAGCCGAGGATGCCGCTGATGAGGCCCTTATCAAGTTTGGCGGCAATGTCCGGAACTTCCTTCGTGATGCCGTCAGTATTGCACCTCCGCAGGAGTCTGACCAGAGCGGCACTGTCCTCTTCGAGAGTAAGGATGCTCAAGGCAAGCGTGTCATTCATACATCGAGATTTGATGCTCAACTACACGTTATTCACACATCAACGGAGAGTTTTACAAAAGATCCCAACAGTGCTGACTACGCAGAGTGGTCAAAGGAATTTGATGCTGATAAGAAGACACCTGAAATCAACGATGATCTACAGAAATTCCCCGACTTGCGAGCTACTATGGAGAGGTTGGTTCCTGACCAAGTTCCCTACGTTGATTTCTGGAAACGCTACTATTTCCTTCGTCATGGTATTGAGACAGCCGAGGCTAGACGACGAGATCTTCTCAAGGGTGAGTCAATTGGGTTTTAACAGTGCCTTGCTAACAATCGACAGCTGCCTCCGCTGAGGATGATGTTGCCTGGAGTGATGATGATTCCGACGATGATGACTCTGACGCCTCCGATGATACCAGTACACCCGCGGCTAAGACCAAGGTTGAGACCAAGGTTGAACCCAAGGACCAGCCCAAGACTACCCCTGCTGCCCCCTCCACCACTACCACCACTACCCAACCTGCAAAAACCCTCTTGAAGCCAACTGAGCCCCGCAAGTCAAACGACGAGAAGTCACAGGCGGATAGTGAGGCTAGCTACGATGTTGTTGGTGCGGCATCTGGCAAGACAACACAGACCCCCAATAGCCCCAAGGATCCTAAGGACGCCAAGAAGAAGGAGGAGAGCAGCGATGAGGAGGATGACAGTGATGATGACTCAGATAGCGACGAGGACTGGGAATAGACGTTGAACAAGTCCAGTATATGTTTGAAAGGATGGGATTGTCGCTGTCCAGTTTGGCGTTCGGAATTAGTGAAACCATTGTGGCATGTTGAAAGCACCAGAGCCTGTAACTTGATGGGTATAAATACCAAGAACTCGTGTCTGATATTCGATGCTCCTCATTTTTGTTATTTTTGCCTTTGTTGCATTTATTTCTTCTTCTTAGTGACCATCGTGAAGCCATCCTCGTCGACCTGAGGTTGGGACTTCTCCTTAGGAACCGCAACCAGAGGGGGAGCCTCATCCATCTCAACATCAGCGCCACCCTCGTCATCCTCTGAATCATCCTCGTCGCTCTCCCAGTCTGTATCCTGATCGGCATCGTCAGCCTTCTTGAAGATACCCTCAACCTTTGTTCCCTTGCGGTTCAGCCAGCGTGTGCGCAGAGCCTTGACCTCGTCGAATGTTCCGAGAGTGCAGCTCGCGCGAGCTCGGAGAATATTGCCGGCAACTTCTGTGCCTGAATCGTCATCGACGTTAACCTCGAACTCGTCAACCATGACCTGGAGCAGGACAGTCTCAACCTCCTCTAGATCAGGATCCTCGGGGGCTTTTCCATTCTTGGGAGGTGTATCGGTATATTCTGGGAAGAGTTCGACAACGGCGCCGGCAAACCAATCGCGTTTGTCGGCAGAGTCGGGACCACCCCAGCCGTTCTGGACTGAGAGTGTAAGTGCAGGCCAGAGGTGAAGAGCGTATGCGACGGCTTGCTCGAACTCAGATTGGCGTTCAGCTAGAAGATTTGAATTAGTCTCTGTGCATAGTCTGAAGTAAATGTTTCGACTCACCCGCTGGAGGCAGCTGCGCGGGTTCTGTAGAGGCCATGATTGTGGTGATAGTTTTGGCGGGGTTTGGAGGGGCAATTTGAGGAAGATGGCTCTGCATAAAATTTTTGGTGTTTTATTGATTGGACCCGCCACGGCCCAAGCCAGGGCCCACATATTCAATCTTGCGTGTCCCTTGATCATCAGGGAGCGACCTAATTTTATATAATACCTGGTAATAACATCAAGTGCATTATTTAATAAGAAATGTAAGGAATACGATATGTGAACTGAAAGGTTCTTAGTATTACTGCATATTTTCCGATTTGACCGAGTTTCCAACTCTATATTGTGCTTTGTATAGGTCTTCAGTCTCTCGACCTTGATTCTTGGCTGCAAATCTCCCCACAAACCAAAAGCACAGGCCATCTTCAAATGAAAGTCAGGTTTCATCCAGCGACTCGCTGCATGCAGAAGGCAGAAACGACCCGTTCCCACAGGAATGGAAGCAACAAGACTAAGGTCGTTTAATCAAGATTCTAAAATAAACCGACCAAAGGCTTCCTGAGGTCATCCTAGCGTTGCCCAAGTTATCGTAAATTTGTCTGAGTATTTTTATCCCTTTAGGATAAATGTTTAAGTTTGTTATCTCCGTCCAGCCATCAGCCATCCCCGGTTCCGTGGAGTCAGGGGTAGGAATTGGGTGCATCTCATCAAAGAATGACATCATGAGACCCCTACTAGCAATTGGTTAGGTTTTGGGTTCAGCTGAGCCTGTTGTCCAGCTGAATTGAACTGAACTCTTCCATTCCATGGCACATGGCGCGTCTTTAATAGCGACTCAAGCCACTGATTGTCCTGTTGTGTATCGAAGTACTTGGTGATTCGAGTGAGTGACAGCCATGAACTCGCTCAACACCACCTCGGTGTCATTCGCTGTGACGCCCACTGTCGTCTCGACTTTGTTCTCTCATGTACGTACTTTCATCATTTTGTGTAATCGATCTCCAAGCCAGTAGAGGGGACGAAAACACCATCCTCCCTACACTTTGAGATTGCTTTCCTTTTTCGCAAGGAACTAACTCAGAACCTCTAGTATTTCAACAGGAAGCCTTTGCGACAACGTCCAACTGCGCATCTATCCTACGATGAAGGTCTCCATCTGATCCGATCATTCCTCGAGTATGCATCACACCACACTGTTGAAGAACTCCAAGCATTCACCGCGCAATGGGTGCCGCATCCTCAATGGGTCAAAGTCGAAGATGTCACCATCGCCGAGGATCAATTGACACGCGCCGCTGAATTTCTTCAGAAACAACTGGGTCTTGACGGTATCAAGCAAGTCGGCGGCGAGAAGTGGTGGCAATGGCGGAAACCTGCGACTCCTCTCGACGCGGAATGGATTGAGATGCGCGCAGATGCCTATGAGCGAAAGCAAAACGGAGGAAAAACGCGGCGCGTCATGATGTATATCCATGGAGGCGCATACTACTTTGGTAGTGTTGATGAACATCGATATCAAATGCAGCGACATGCTCGAAAGCTCAAAGCACGCGTTTTCGCCCCTCGATATCGCCTTTCGCCGCAGTTTCCCTTCCCTTGCGGCCTTCACGATTGTCTTGCAGCTTACCTTCATCTGCTTACCGTTCAAGATCCTACGACTATTGTCTTGGCTGGAGATTCTGCAGGCGGCGGAATGGTCATGTCTCTTTTGTGTGTTCTACGCGATCAAGGGCTCCCGTTGCCTGCTGGTGCTATCCTCATCAGCCCATGGGTTGACCTGACACACTCGTTCCCCAGCGTTGCAGGCGAGGCACCTTTTGATTATATACCACAGGCAGGATTTCACCACAAGCCTTCTAAAGCATGGCCACCGCCGAACGAGGACGATGTTGTGATGTTGAGAGAAGAGGCATTGAAAAAGAAAAACGAGACAAAGAAGACGCCTGGCAAGCATGAACTTAAGGAGAAGCAGCAAGCACCAGTTGCAAAGAAAGAACCGTCAGATGCTTCATCAAGATCGGAGTGGATCAATGGTGGAATTCCCATCAACCCTGAAAAGCTCCTCTCTGTCACCATTGACGGCCAACTCGTCAAGCTAAAAGATCAGATTCAGGTAGGTTTCGTAGAAGATGAGTTTGACTAGAAGCTGACAACCTCAGATGTATACCACCAACGAGCTTCTTGCACATCCTCTTGTCAGCCCAGTCATGCAACCTACACTAGGTGGCCTCCCTCCACTTCTGATCATGGTCGGAGGAGGGGAGATTCTACGAGATGAGCAGATATACTTGGCTCACAAATGTGCCAACCCTGAGAAATATGCGTCCCCGGAAGAAGCTCTCACCCCAGAAGGAAGAGCTTTGTTGCAAAAGTACAAGCCCACCGATGTACAACTCCAAGTATGGGATGATCTTTGTCATGTGGCACCAACACTAAGTTTCACTCGTCCCGCAAAATACATGTACAGGTCTGTTGCCCAGTTTGGTGCATGGGCCCTCGCTCGAGCTCAGAAACGTGGCATCGAAATTCTCGATGACGACGATATATCAGTCATCTCTGAATCTGGGTCCGATAGCGAATCCAAAGAAAACGCTCCCAAAACCCCAGAAACAGAAAAGTCAGACTTTCACTCGGAGCCTGGCCGAGTTGGAAAGGCTGGCGACCCTCTCCCGCCGTTCAAGAACCACATGATTCGTCAACGAGTCACTCGTCATGGTGCTACCCTCCCACTGGCCCCTGAGGCTGAGTTGCCAGCATGCTGTATGGAACCTGCTTCAGTTGGAGTTGTAAAGGAGGGAACAGTTAAGAAATGGCTGGCCAAGAAGGAACAGTGGGATCATAGATATGCATCAAACAAGGCCAAGGTCCATAAAAAGATGGTGAGCGATATGGCCATCGGCTACCATGATTATGGTCCTGGCGAATGCCCTCCTCCGACTGCATTGGCTGGCCGACGGCGCGTTGATTCAAAGCTGGTAGAAGGAAGCAAGAAACAACAGAAGAGCTGGGGTCTGGCAATGTGGTCACTCTGGGGTTCTAAGCACGATGAGATGACAGTCGAACGAGAGAAGAAGGCAGCTGGACAGCCAGAAACAAGAGTTGCCACTGGTGCTGAGGGCGAAGGAGCTCGCTCCTTTGCTGATATCGAAGGACAAGATAGATCACGGTCACAGCCGAACCGAGCAAGAAGCCGATCCCACACCAAGGTAGTCACCGACGAGAACCAGACGGGTAGCCAGCCCATCACTGAGGATATGCCAGTTGCTCATCTCATAGAGCAGCGAAAGGAGCAAGAAGCTGCCAAGCCCAGTTTACTCAGTCCCGACTATGCGCCGGAGACTGGTGTAGCTGGTAAGAGACCGTTTCTTGATGGCATCGCACTGCCGTTTAGTCTTAATAAGGATGCCGAGACGGCTAGTATGATGACGCTTCAGTCCAACGTCACACAACTTCCAGGCTCACGACCTATGAGTCCAAGCTTTCATGATGATGATTCTACTCAGCCTTCTCAATCAACGCAGCTTACTTCTCAAGATGCACCAACTATTGAGATTGCAGGCAAGCGACCATTCCTCGACGGTACAGCAGTCCCATTCAGCCTTAAAAGGGAGGCAGACACTGCCAGTATGAAGACCCTGCAGTCGAATGTTACCGCCATGCCCACCTCGAGGCCCATGAGCCCAAATATTCAGATTTCAGAACCAGTCGAGAAAAACCAGGAAAACGAAGTGGAAAAGGAGAAGAATGGAATAAACGACGAAGCTGGCTTGGTTGCCACGCCTTTAGAGCGACCTGGCTTAGACACATTTGTCACGGCTCAGGAGGAGCTGCCCCGAGTCAAGAAAGAGGAGGAATCATAAAAAGGAGTTCTTTTTGGCGCAAGGTTGGATACAGTCAATTGTTCAGTTTTGTTCAATCAGGATATCCCCGTGTCAAAGCACAATCGTTATCGTCATTTTGTTTCGTTCGTAAGTAATATCCATAGTCAACATTTCACAGGAAATAGGAGTGTTCAAGTGTTTTTTCGTTATTGATCGAATGAGTCCATAATCATACATGGTGGTACAACGTACACGGGTATATACAGCCTTGCCAGAGTTTCCCGGTCTCCATGGCATCCTAGATTCGCCTTTTGTTGAGAAATCAACCAATATTCTATGGCCACCGCCCTTTTTGCCCGTCTAATCCACACCGTTGAATCGCTTCCATTGCTCGACGTAGAAGTAAGGATCTTGAGGACCCTTATCGAGACCCTTATAGTCACCAGGTTCCGCCTTGACTTGTCGGCTCACGAAGGGTGTAAGCTATTTTACCACGATTAGCTTTCCGTCCAAATCACCAACAACAGTCGATCCTCACCTTGAAATCCTTCAGCGGCGGTACAGCATATGTTCGGACCTTGTTCCACTCGATAACGTAGCCTCCGTACTTTGTGTGTCGACCCATTGAACCAGTTCGGTTACCCTTGTAGAAGCCCTTTCCAACATCCTTGGTTGTGAGTCTGAGGTGGCGGTATCGGCCGACCGACAGGGCTTGTGTAGGTCTCATGATGCAAAATTAGAGATAGGAACGATCGGATCCGTTATTAGAAAATTCGTCGGTCGGAGGCGGTGCGTACGGGGGGATTTCCGTGGTCAATTGGCGCTGGCGTCGCAGTCGCAAGGTTGATCTTGAAGTTTTGGAGATTCGGCGATTGGCGTTGTTCCGGTTCCGGAGGAGCTCCCGATGGATTGCAGGGGTGCCGTTAACGGCCAATCGTTCATATGATCGCTGCTGAACAGTCTTTAGGTGATTGATGATGTCGATTTGATTTAAAGACGGCTTGAAAAGCCTGAAAACGTTGCTTCTATTTCTTCTGCATTCAAAAAGGAGCATATTATCGCTGGGCGGTTTCTTGTTCATGTCTTTGAGCCATGTAAGTGGGCTGCTACGCTAACGAGGGGCATTTGCGATGGACAAGGATGGCTAACGTCGTCTGGCGACATCAGCTCTAAGCTCAATTTACCTTCGCCGTCACGAACCCATGCCTTCGACATCTCAAAATATCCACCATGGATGGGTATCCGACGGGAAGTTTGGACCACAATGTCCCCCTTCTAGTGGCCGCTGGCCTTAACTCCGAGACGAACGAGCTCCCATTGAGCGCAGAGCTAAAGGAACAGAGCATCCTTCTCCGATCAGAGCTACCACCTATCGGGGGCGAAGAAGCAGAGGTTCTGGCAGAATACTTTAAGGATGTTGATGCTAGCGCAAAGTCGTGGAGTGCCTTCGAAAGAAATGAGCCATACAGATTTCGGATTAGGACTACAGGGAGAGTAGGTTTGCGCGGGGTGATACGCAAGGCCTTGTTCTAACATGCGGGACAGTCGTTTCTATTACCGCCTCGTCGAGCCCGTCTTCCAGAAGGTATCGAACCGCTCAGCGAACACCCGACTTTACACTCACCCTTCTCCCCGCTAAGTCCAGTATCGGCACTATATCCGGATGGTCACATTGATGCGCAATGGATCAAGAAGCACCAAGACCTAGTTCCTAGTGTGTACCTATGCTTTTACCCCCTCACGAGCGACCCGAATTCCATGACGCTTCAAGATAACCATATTAAGTCCGATATCAACAATCTCAAGAGTGCTTTATTACGTTCAGGATACAAGACACGGCTAGCGATTGTTCTGATTGCGGACAGCGAAGGTGCTCCTCTGTCGTTGGCCGAAGGAATTCAAGAGAGACTGGAGAACATACGGAGAGGGACAGCGTTAGACCCAAAGTCGGTCTTTTACATCCCATCGCAGGAGTCGCAGGACGATCTAAAACAGGTTGTTGATAACGTCCTGGGCGTGCTATACACTTCAGCTGTGGAATACTACCGGGATCTTGGACGACATGCCAGGAAGAAGCGATCGCGTGGAATAGCACCTCAACCGACCGTGCCACCTACGACCGGGACATCCCAAACTCTCTCGCTCCCAGACTGGAATTTCAGATACGATTTCAAGTCAGCCATATTCGCAGAATTCCGACAGGAGACAGATGCGGCGCTGCAATTTTTCAAACAAGCATACGAGGTACTTCTTGGACAGGATGTGCTGGACATAATCCCCAGTTGGAGCCCTCGCTGGAATGAGGCCCGACTCTTGGCGGATGTCATAGCTATCCGATGCTTAAGATGTCACTTGTGGCTGGGCCAAACTACGTTGGCTGTTAGAATGTGGCATTCGCATCGAGAGCGGATTGCCGATTTTGTCGATCGACGCGGGCGAGGGACTAACAACTATGGGTGGCAGGCCTGGGAAGCTCGGTGGGCTACAGTTATGGCAAATCTGATTGAAAGAGTAGGCTTGCCAGCTTTGGCGCCAGCAACGGGAGCTCTGTATGTCCCGCCCGATAAGTCTGTACTGGGCGAGCGAGTGTCACCATGGGAGCTGCTGCACCATACAGGCTACTGGTATCGCATAGCGGCACGCCATCTTGTGGCTCGCCGGAAACTTGCGCATCAGATACCCGAGGAGGATAGGAATTCGCCAGATACAACTCCCGCATCATCGGTAGCCAGCAAGGCCTTCGCATACGATACATACATGTGCCCAGAGCCGTACCAAGAATACCCCATATCGGGCAAAGGAGTAAACCATGCACAATTGGTCATTGATTGTCTCAAAGCGGCGAGCTCACAATTTCAAGCTCGAAGGCAAAAACGCCTGACGGCTGAGATATCATTGGAGTGTGCAAGGGAGTTCGCCAACTTGAAACAATGGGACGATGCTGTGGAAACCCTGCTACCATTCTGGGAGGATGTGGCGTTCAGATCGGAGGGTTGGCTCAATATATCAGAGGACCTGTGTTTGACTTTGCGAAGAATCGCCATGGGAGCCCGGCGTGCAGACCTAGTGGTTGCTGCGGATTGGGAGCTCATGAGCAACAGTGAGTGTCTTCGGTTCATAATCTGGAGAGTAGTGTTTCTAACCATGACCAGGTTTTGTGCGGCAACCGCAGTGGCATTACGACATCACCAGATCACTTGAAGGAATTCCAGCAGAGGAGAAGCCCGTAATTAGTCTAACCGACGAAAAGACGGGCTCGTTCATTTCAGCGTCTTTCGTGTTTCGGAATAAAGAGGGCAAGGCTGGCGAGACATGTACCGCACAGCTTGCGCTCACCTCTCACACGTTTCTCGATGCTGCTCCGATCTCATTTGAGTCCTTGAGGGTCGAGTTCAGTGGGAGTCTCAGACCAATACTACTGGAGCAAGGGGCTTCAGAAGACGAGGACTCGTCATCAAGCTCAAAAGTCTCCATTTTGTCATTATCGCTGAAGGAAGACTACGCTGAAGGGTCTGAAGATGAATTGCCGACATTGCTCAATGGAACTTCCAACCTGACACTCCGGCCTGGCCAAACGCGAGTTTTCGAAATGAAAATTCCTTTGAGGGAGCCAGGCACTGCCACGGCCTCGTCCGTCACACTCTCACACAGCAATTCGAGCTTCAATCTTGATGCTAAACTTGGAATTCGTGATACACATCCCATTGTTGGCTGGTATATCCAGGGCTCATCGAAACCCAGGAGTAGCCGTCCAGAAGCAGGTACCATCCGCATTCAGCCTCGGCCGCCAAAGATGGAGATCAAACTCTTGGAACCCTTGGCTCAGTACTACGCAAACGAGGCCATCGAGTTGGAGGTCGAGTTGATCAATGCCGAAGACGAATCCGCTACTGCTAAATTGGATATTCACCTATTTGGAAAAGAAATACCAGTAATCCGAGTGGTGACGGATGGCAACGAGGGCAGCGCCGAAGCAACCACAGAGGAGGCCAAAATCCTGGGACTTCCTTTGGGTGCCATAAAGAGCACATCATCAGTCAAGATGGTGCTTCATATAGATCCAGCACCGGGCCCCACGACATTTGATTTGCACTTGAAGACGTCGTACCACTTAGACTCAGACGTTGCAACCCCGATCATGCAATTATTGACAGTTCAGCTCATTGTTGTGAATGCATTTGAGGCAAATTACGATTTGGTTCCACGACTTCACCCTGAACCATGGCCAAGCCTTTTTGACTCTGAGGGACTGGGAGATACGGAAGAGGGTGTTGCCCGAGGCTTCACGCAGAAGTGGTGCCTACTTTGCCACTATGCATCATTCGCCCAAGAAGACCTGAAGGTCCTTGGGATGGATCTCAACGTGGTCTCATGCGTTGGTGGTGCAAGATGCAACGTGAGCCAGGGGCCGAATGTGTCACAAGAAGGGGTCATCGTTGCCCCTAAGACGATGCATGAGGCACAATTCGATCTAATAGCCCAGAAGCTCACGATGGAAGATCGACACCCCGTAACACTCGAATTGGCATTCGTCATAAGATGGCAACGTCAGAACCGCAGCGATGGAGCAGTCAACACAACAACCATGCCTGTTGGTAAATATCTGGTGTTGGGCACAGAGCCGCGTGTGCTGGCGTCCGTGTATCGCGCCACCAAAACAGAGGATGGCATGCCAGGGCTGATGCAACTGGACATGACAGTCGAAAATCCATCCAATCACTTCCTTACCTTTGGTCTCGGTATGGAACCGAGCGAGGATTTTGCGTTTTCTGGTTCAAAGCAGACAACACTGAACCTATTACCACAGTCGAGGCGGACAACGACTTATCGGTTGTTACCGTATGTCAATGGAGTATGGATAAGGCCGAAACTGACGGTACGAGACAAGTATTTCCAGAAAGTGTTACGCATAATACCGACAGAAGGGATGAAGATCGACGAGGAAGGACTTTTAGTGTGGGTTCCTGGAGAGGAGACGAGCGAAGAAGAGATGTCCGAAGAGCGAGCATAAGCTTTTATAAATTTGCGCATATCAAGTCAGCAATGTAAGCATTAGAGGGTCAGATAGATGGTGGGTGTTATAAATGAGGTTATCACGTGAATTATGATTATTGATGTCAGCTTTTTCACAAAATCGCATCTGGTCACAACAGGTGGAAGGCTGTATGACCAGAAGCTGTGTATAGGTCCTCACTA